AAAACCTACGGAAAATCAGTGTCTTGTTGCTTTTTCTGGCCTTCTTGGGGACCCTCTTGGAGGCCTCTTGGGCCGTCTTGGGCCAGTTTCGAGCCAACTTCGGCCATCTTGGTGGGCTCCTGGCCCGTCTGACGCCGTCGGAAGCAGTTTTTGGAGCCTTTCTGGGCCGACTTGGGGCCCTCTTGGGGTGCTCCAGGGCCGTCTTAGATGCCATCTTGGGCGTCTTGGAGGCCTCTTGGGTCGTCTTTGTGCCCTCTTGAGGCCGTCTTGGGGGCCTCTTAAGCAGTCCTGATGCCATCTTGGAGGCCTCTTGGGCGCTGTGGGGGCGATCTTAAGGGCCTCTTGGGCCGTCTTGGGTCGTCAGAAAGCCGAGAAGAAGCGAATGCGATGATGCTGCTGATGATGCTGATGATGCTGATTACGACGACGACGATGCTGCTGCTGCTGCTGATGATGCTGATGATGCTGATGATGATGATGATGATGATGATGATGATGATGCTGCTGATGATGATGATGAAGATGATGATGGTGATGGTGATGGTGTTGGTTGTGGTGATTCTGCTGCTGCTGATGATGCTGATCTGATGTTGATTCTGATGATGATGATGATGATGATGATGATGATGATGATGATGATGCTGATGATGATGATGATGATGATGATGATGATGATGATGCCGATGCCGCTGCTGCTGATGATGCTGATGCTACTGATGATGCTGTTTATGATGACGATGCTGCTGCTGATGATGATGACGATGATGCTGATGATGCTGATGCTGACGACGATGCTGATGCTGATAATGATCAGGAGGAGGCGGATGAGGATGATGATGCTGATACTTATGATGATGATGGCACTGACGGTGCTGATGATTATGACGATGCTGATCATGATGATGATGCTGATGCTGATGATTCTGATGCTGCCGGGGATGACGACGATTATGATGATGATGCTGCTGATGATGCTGATGTTGATGTTGTTGATGATGCTGGCGATGCTGATGATGATGCTGATGATGCTGCTGATGATGATGCTGCTGATGCTGATGATGCTGAGGATGATGCTGATAACGATGATGACGATGCTGCGATGCTGATGATGCTGATGATGGTGGTAGTGATGATGAAACCGATGCTGATGCTGATGCTGATGCTACTGATTCTGATGATGATGCTGCTGCTGATGCTGATGAGGCTGTTGCTGATGTTGCTGCTGATGATGCTGATGATGCTGATTACGACGACGACGATGCTGCTGCTGGTGATGCTGATGCTGATGATGATGCTGATGATGCTGCTGATGATGCTGATGATGAAGATGATGCTGATGATGATGGTGATGGTGTTGGTGGTGGTGATGATGCTGCTGCTGATGCTGGTGTTACTGAGGATGCTGTTTATGATGATGCTGCTGATGATGATGCTGATGCTGCTGTTTATGATGATGATGCTGATGCTGGCAATAGTAGTTAGGACAATGCTGATGATGATGCTGGTGATGCTGCTGATGCTGATGCTGATGCTGATGCTGCTGCTGCTGCTGATGATGACGATGATGATGATGATGATGATGATGATGATGACGATGATGATGATGATGATGATGATGATGATGATGATGATGATGATGATGATGATGATGATGATGATGATGATGATGATGATGATGATGATGATGATGATGATGATGATGATGATGATGACGGTGACGATGAGACGAGGAGGAGGAGAAGAGGAGGAGGAGGCAGCAGGAGGAGTAGGAGAGGAGGGAAGGGAGGAGGAGGAGGAGGAGGAGGAGGAGGAGGAGGAGGAGAGGAAGAGGAGGAGGAGGAGGGGACGGATGAGGAGGGGGAGGAGGAGGAGGAGGAGGAGGAGGAGGAGAGGAGGAGGAGGAGGAGGAGGAGGAGGAGGAGGAGGAGGAGGAGGAGGAGGAGGAGGAGGAGGAGGAGGAGGAGGAGGAGGAGGAGGAGGAGGAGGAGGAGGAGGAGGAGGAGGAGGAGGAGGAGGAGGAGGAGGAGGAGGAGAGGAGGAGGAGGGGAGGAGGAGGAGGAAGGAGGAGGAGGAGGAGGAGGGGCAGGAGCAGAGAGCAGCAGGAGCAGGAGCAGGAGCAGGAGCAGGAGCAGGAGCAGGAGCAGGAGCAGGAGCAGGAGCAGAAGCATGAGAGGGAGGACAATGTGGAGGAGGAAAAGGATGGAGTAAGGGCGGAGGGAGGGAGGGACGGACGGACGGGCGGACGCACAGAACGAGGGAGGGGGGATGAGGAGGAGTAGGAGGAGGAGGTGGAGGAGGGGGGAGGAGGAGGACGAGGAGGAGGAGGAGAGGAGGAGGAGGAGGAGGAGGAGGAGGAGGAAGGTGGTGGAATGTGGAGGGCGGTGGGACGAGGAGGACGAGGGAGGGGGAGTAGGATGTAGCCAGTAGGATATAGCCAGATATGGCCGCTTTGACGCAGGCCGAGATCGGCTGCGCACATTTTTTTGTGTGTCCACAGCCG